AAAAACTAAACCTCAATAAAAAATGAGGTCAACACCAGGTCGGACCATATCCTAAGGATCCAAGTGAGCTTGAATTTATCACTTTAATGTATTTAAAGTATAAAAATAATTTTTTTAAGCATAAATTTATATGAAATTATATTAAAAAAATAAAAATTAGTTCTTTTTAAAACATTTTATCTTATTTATGGTTTAAATATGCCATTAAATTTGGTTTATAAATATGTTCTTTTTTAATATACAATTATAAGCATAATTATATTTAAGAAGAAATTAATTTTACTTAAAAATATCTTATATATGATCTACGTAATCAAAGTGTTATTTCTTAGATTACTTAGATACTTAGAAAAATCTTATGAATTTTAAACTATAATACCTTAATTTATATTTATCAATGAGATGTGCTCTTGAATAATGCACATTAAAGCATTATAATCAAGGGTGATATCTCATCTAAAGGGATGTGATTCATTGAATAATACCATCCAAATGAGATACAAACACACAAATAAAATGATGATGTAATAAAATAAATAATATGTTTATTAAACATGTACTCAAATAATTCTCAATTTAAATCATATATAAAATTTAACATATAAAATTATTTTTTTCTCAAAAAATAAATTTTAAAGATCACACAAATAAGATATTGCACAATCCATGTTATGGTTGTATCAGGTATCAAAACTTAGACTGAAGAATTAATGGTGAGCACAAAGTGAAAATGATGATATTATCATGATGTTATACATTTACACTCATAAATTTATAATGATATCGTGAATGATAAGTTGGTAGGTTAAGTCTAGATGCTACTAGAATGGTGTTGATTTATCATTATATCATGATAGCTAAGACCAAACTACTTGAAACATATTTTTTTATGATATGATTTCTTCTATAAAAAGAATAATCATACTGGGTTCATAAAACTAACAAAATTTATGTTTTAAAATTCCACTTCAAATATATAGGAATTTAAGGATTCACAATAAAATTAGTGTTTATCATCTTACTATATAACAAAACTTTTTGAGTATTCAAGTACTGAAATCACATTACACTATCTCCTGCCTCTCTTAACCTTTTTTTTTGTCAACCAATCCTAACACCAAACACTTAATGAAGACAATTGTCCCTTTTTAATAGAGTAAAGGAGATTAATGTCTTTTTTCTAAAGAATTTATGAATACCCCATTTAAATACTTCTTGTACTCTTATGTTCTTCTTCGAAACACATTAATTGTATACCACTCTTTTGAACAATAGCAAAAAGATCACTAAACTTTGCTAATGAGTTCATAAGTTTCATGCTCTCTAACTACTCTCTTAGTCATGTATGCAATTCGAAGCATATAAGGTATCTCAATTGAATGGTTAGATTAAGCATATACAAAATAAATAGATAACTTAAATAAGTCTAGTTCAAAAGTGATAGGGAGTAAAAATTATCATCAAATAATTAAGCTCGACTATTTTTGAATTATGATTAAACAAATATCAAACTATCTTTGAACTATAATTGAATCAAAATTAAACAATTTTCAAATCTTTATAAACTAAAGATAAAATTTTGAACAAACAAGTCTAAAAAAATCAAATAATGTTCTGTTCTTTTTGAACCTTTTTTTAATATTATTCAAAAATATACATTAATCAAACTATCATTAAATAACTATTGAATAAACTTAAAATTAGGACTAGATATTTTTATAACAAATCAATCAATGATTGAATTATATTTGAACAATTCTTAAATGATGATTAAATGATAATCAAAATATTCTGAAATAATAATCCAACAATAATCATCTAATGATTTTCTAATTAAATATTAAAGATAATAAAAAATAGGCATTTTAACACAATAATTATAAATAACTACTTTTTTTCCCACCGAATGGAAAATATATCGCATCAGGACTCCGCACCTAGAGTTACGTGTGCAGTCCAATGAAATCAGACCACGTAGAAAAAGAATCTGTCCTGTAGCACAAGAGAATATTCCTCCCATATTATTCAGATGTTATTATGTGTTAGTCATGTGTTATTATGTGTTATTATGTGTTATTCAAGTATTATTGATTTGTTACTGTGTTATTATAACACCAAGAATATTTTCAAAAGACTATAACATAGGATACACCTTAATAACAATAAATTACACAAAGCAGAATATTTCGCTGATCACCGGTAACCCTACGTGCGGGTGATGGGGAGGGGCTGTTATCTCGCACCTTTTATCTTTCTAGTGCAGAGCAATGCCTCCAATGAAGCTCGACACCTCGCGCTCGATTTTTAAAAAATGCGAATTCTCAAAGAACGGCAAAGCCCTGGTTCCCTAAACACACCGATTCTTCCCATCAGTTGTTTATAGCTTCGCTGAAATTCGTTCCATTTGGTTTTTGTCTTGTTAATACTGTGCAAGACGTGTTGCAAATGGTTTCTCCAAGTGCCGGGATCCATTTGCAGCATCACCGGCGATGGCTGCCGGCGAAGTTTCCGTACCCACTCATCGTCTTCATGGTGCTTTGGATGCTTGTTTTCGGGTCTATCTTCGCATGGCGAACTAATTCCGTTGACGTCATCCGGCACTCAGGACGAGCGACCCCGCCGAGACGGCCCGTGCCGAAGCTTCGGCCTATGGTCTTTAACCTAAAGGACTTCGATGCGGTGGGAGATGGGAAAACGATGAATACGGAGGCTTTTGAACGAGCGGTGGAAGCGATCTCGAAGCTCGCGAATAGCGGTGGGGGCCAGCTCAACGTGCCGCGAGGGCGGTGGCTCACTGCTCCGTTCAATCTAACAAGCCACATTACGATCTTTCTTGAAGAGGATGCTGTTATTCTTGGGATTCAGGCACGTAAAGTTGCAAAGTTATCAAGTAATTTTTTTTTTTTCATATATAAACATGTTTAGATTTCTGCCTTCTCTACTTCCGCTCAAGTAATTTCTTTTTTCATTTATAAACTGTTCAGATTTCTGCCATGTCTACTTCCGCTTGAGATTTTTTTCCCGAATGTTGAGCCCTAATGATAATTAATTGGAAATTCGTGGTTAAAATATGCTTAGAACCCGTGCTTTCTCAACTGATCTTGCACACTTTCACTTTAGAAAATTTTAGATAATGAGCGCTATTTTTTTTTAGCGCGGAAATGGCTGACTTTAATGCGATGGTAAGTTAACAGGAATGTCTCCTTAGGGTAAAATTTGAATGATTTTTGTTGGGTTGTATTGTGTAGTTCATCTTCATCAATAACATTCATAATGAGTTTGCCAAAATATTTAAAGTGAAAGCTTCAATCAGGGCCAAAACTGATTTGCCATAAAGTTAACTAAAAGAGGAAAATAAAACAAACTACCAAGAGACACTAAGGAAAGAGATGATCCGATCCAATAACACAAATAAATATCTCAAGTACAAACTAAGAACACTCACCAGCCATTTCTCAATTTCCAAGCATACACATGCTCAAAAAAGAAGAAGAAAACTTTAGATTAAGCACACAAATCAAGATTATACTGTACACACATAAATTTTCTTTTTACATATACTATAGAGAAGTCTAATTTTGCGATGAATCATTATATGTCATGAGGGTATGTTGATGAGGAATGAGGAAGATTCAATTTCTCATATACTAAACCATATTTAAACACCTCTTTTCATATCTCAACACAAATATTTAGACACCTACTTGCATTGCCTAGGTGTGGGGATTCGTAATACTTAATATCAAACCCATATGAAGGAGAATTATGATTTACTATATGCTGGTATGCAACAAATCCCATAACTTGCTAATATATAAGGTAATCTAGAGTACATTCCATCATTGAATTTCTTAATAATTCTTTTTTTTTACTCATTGTTGTGACAAAACTAAATCTCTTGCATCTCCTTTCTAGCCAAGTACTCTAAGCTCTCAAATCTTTAAAGCCACAAACCATTGTTTTGCATTTTTTTGTGATAAATTTAAAGCACAAATGTTGCACACTGACACCATTGAATTTAAATGTCATACTTAGAAGTGAAGTTTTGTGGCCTTCATGCGGCCATCTACTCACCCTAAATGCTTCAATGATATGAAGGGCTTGCAAATTGTGCAATTTAAACTTGACCCTTTGCTTACATAAATTTTTCCAATCATCTTGTGTTTGAAGTTGTTTTCAAACTTTTCTTGAAGCTATGAAACTTAGGCCTCTTTTGGCTAAGCTTCTTTTTTTATTAAATTTATTTAAAGTGGCTTTTAATGAAATATTCTTATAAAGCCATGCTTTTAAAAGTTGCTCTTGTTGTTTGGATTAACTATTTTATTTGTACTTTTCTGATCAAAAAATTTCTTTGATACCTGTTTGGTTAAGTTAGTAGTGATAGCTTTTTCATATAAAAAACTAAGGGTCTGTTTTGGGCAGCTATAACTTATCCAAAAAATTGGTTTGCAGCAGTTGCCAAAGGAAACTGTTGCGGGAGGTTTGCTGCCTATTTGTTTTTTGTAGTTTGAAAATAGCAGCATGATAGTTGTTTCTGGATAAATGATCATTATGACCATATGCAGTAATGCTGTTTTCAACAAAACTGTCATAAGAATATATTTAGTACTTGAGGAGCAAAAAATGACTTCAGAACATTAGAAAAAATAAAATACACACCTCACATAACAGTAAATACCATATGTACTAAAGAAAAGAATATAAGTATGAAAATTACATTTAAAAAATGATAATATTAATTTTAAAATCCATCTGACATATGTCTCGAGCTACGATGTCCTCCGGGGTTGTCATCCAACTCCGATCACTTTCGACAGTTGAATCTGCCAGACTGTCTGCCCACCGGAAGAAATCACACTTGTCTAGACCGTCTGCCCACTAAGGGCACGTGTAGAACTTTCTTCTGTAGCTATGTGCCCGACGCGACGTTAGTAGAGAAGACTAGGTTTGGGACGGAATCCGGGAGGTAAGAGTGACGAGCGACGACTTCGTTGAACAACAGGGGAGTGACAGGGAGGGATGATTTCGCAGAACAGTAGAGGAGCACGAGGCATTCGGCGTAGAACAGAGGGAAAGGGGATTAGGGTAGGGGTGATGAAGGGGTAACCTGGGTGATAAGCCATCGCTCAAACGCGGGCCACGGGGTTCGATCCGCAGCTCGCATTTAGCTTTAACGGCATCATGCCGTGCTCGGGAACCGTCCCAAACGACCGTGATTCATGGCTAGCCCCCACACCATGCTCCTACCGCTGAACCAAGTGGACCCTAAAATATCTACATATTTAAAAAACTATAAATCTTAATTCTCTTACTAATTTCACTAAAATTTTTTTACAGCATTGCAAAACATTTACATATTTAATTTTTATATTAAAATAATAACCCATTTAGATACCATTCAACTAAGTTCAATTGACTAGTTTATTCTGTGAAATAAATGTTTTCATAGTCGATTAAGTTTAATATAATGCTACATTATTTATGAGTATTAATTTTCATAAACTAATGTCAAATTAGAATGAAAGACAAATTAACACCGAACCAATTGATTGGTGTCATTTTTAATCACAATAAATGTGTATTTTTAACTTTTATGCTGAATCAGTCAAGAAAACTTGTACTAGTGGTTGTTTTCAGGTTAAAATGGCCTTTTCGTCTCACCAAACCATGCACTGCAGTGGAAAAACTCGGAGAAAATGGCAGTTTACAATGGAATATAAATGGGGTTCTCTTAAATATGATTTGATGTTAAGTTCAATACCTAAATGAAGCATAAAACAATAAAAAGTCATTTCATGGAACGAAAGGCAGGACTTTCTAGACGAGCCCTTAGTCTCTACTTTCCAAAAACGTTATGCTCACAGGAAAATAAATAACTGAAGCATCCTATGAAGTTGTAGTTTTCATACAATCCTTTACTTATTTGTCTCTAACGACAACTAAAGAACCTTATAGATCTTGATTATCTTAATATACCGAAAAATATATGCACTGTAATCCTGAGAGTTTGCAAACATAGAAGTTTCAGTCTCATGTTAGGCATTTATCTCACCTCATTCAAAGTCCTAAGCACACCATCATCATCCTAAGTGCAAAGTGTGCTAAGACCCACAATACTATGGTCCTACACACAAATAAAATTTCATATACAATTATTTACCCATTGCATGATTTAGAACTAGAAAATAATGATCTATTATGACTTATGATATTAAGTATACTGAGTCAAGCGCCCCACCAATAATTATGCTTGTACCTTACATTCATAGAAAATTGAAACAATATTTTCCATATTTGCATTTATAGTCGTAGCTTTCTAATGTTCACCTATCAACTACTCATTTAAGCCCATTTAATCTCATTTGATATGCCTTTATCTTTTGTAATTAAAATAAGTCTTATTCATATCAATACAATTGCTTCTTGAGGTAAGAATCTTTTGCCACTGGTCTTCATCTCCTGAACAATAGTTTGCTTTAAATTTTTTTTTCAACACACTCGAGTTTAAAATTTCATTTTTGACAAAAATAAGTTTTTCACATCTTTTAAACTCATTATTTCTCTTCTTTAACATACAGTGCTCGAGTTTAAAATTTCATTTTTGACAAAAATAAGTTTTTCACATCTTTTAAACTCATTATTTCTCTTCTTTAACATACAGTGCTACGAGAATAGTTATAAGAGGGATATAATGAGTACAATAACAATAAAACATGGTCATCATCACCAAGAATTACATAAAGATTTACCTAAATGTGAATAACTGAGCTATAATAACTTAGATGTGATTTGATGGTATAATTTATTGCAGGCATAACAATACAGTTATGATTGAGTTTATTTAAGTTTATGAATAGTGTCTAGTTTGAGTCATATATCTTTCACAGTTGTCTTTGTCGACGTCTTTGCCAAAACTTCATCTGCTAAATATAAATGGACCATCTGATTATTTTTATTCTTTTTTTTTTTTTACTTTTCATTTTCACTCATCATTATTGGCATCTTTGAATGTCCCATGAGTAATTTTATGCGTATGAATTTCACGTATCTTAGTTCATAAAAGGCCAAAAATTATTTGACTTATTAAATCATTTAATTTTGTACTTCACAGTCATCATTCAAAGAATTGTACTTTGGTGCAAATTTATTATAATGAGGGCCCCAAAATATTTGAACCAAAAACCTCAACTTGGGCAAAAAATGATGTGCTTACAAAATTAAATAATGCGGAGAAAATAAGGCTCCAAAATTTACATGATTCAGTTTGAAAAAGTTTGTCGATGAGAAAGGAAAGAATTGTTTATCAGAACAATCCAATAAAAGAAATAGAACTTTTGCTATATATAATAGTGCTTAAGCCATTTTCAATCCACAAACATAAGCCTATTTGTAAAGGCCAACTATTTGGTATTTTTACATCAACATATTTTTTAACAGTTTGGTATGAGATTATACCCATAGCCTCATATAGTTTAAACATTTTCTAATCACAAGAGAGCTCTTTACATCAACGTCACTTCTCAAATGAAAGCTTTTCAACATCATTAATTATTATACGCCAAAATCCTACTCAATCATGTGAAGTGTTGTAAGAATTGTAAGCCCTTGAACCTTTGCTCAAATATAGTGGAAGATGGCTAAGATACAAATCTCATGAATCACTTGATTCTATTAGAATTATTGGCTTTAACACCACTTTTTTGCTGGGTAAGGCTCTGTTTGGGGCGGCTGTTTTAGTACGTCGTGATAGCTGGCCACGAAATTTCGTCGTTTACTCTCAAGATTTTTATGCGCATACCCCGCATTTCTGTTTGTGCTCTTTCTATTTTCAGTGGAGCTTTATCTTCACCTGCCCTAATCGACGTGCCGGAGTCCACATTATTGTGGTATCTCCTCTCCCTATATTTTTTGAGACATTTTCATTTCTCGCTGCTTTGCACTGTGTAGATTCAACTGTATTTTTTTGGTTTGGTGCTTTTATATAGTGATAGTTTTGCTGTGGTGGATCTTTCCCTGGTTTTTTTTTTTTTTTTGTCTCACTGCTAGTAGCAAATATGTATAATTTCATTCCATATCATTGAAATTTACTAGTGATATCACCTAAGGCATTCTGGTGATGAGAGAACGATATTTCTACACAATGTGAAATGAGACAGAGAAGTAGCAAGAATGAGACATTGATGCGAGTCATTTTCTCTTATTTTTTGGCCTCACAGCTGGTAGCAAATATGTCTAATTTGATTCAAAGCCACTTAAATTTACTTGTGGTACCACCTGTGACATTCTGATGAGAAGAGAAGTATATTTCACACACACACACATTGTGAAATGAGGCAAAAAAGTAGACAGAATGAGACAGTGATGCGAGACATTTTTTTCATTTTTTTTTGTTTGGCCTCACAGCTAGTAGCAAATATGCATAATACCATTTAATGCCACTGCAATTTATTAGTGATACTACATGTGGTTTTCATTGGAAAGATAGTTTATGAAATTTTGGCTATGGTTTTCATGAATTGTTGTTTTTTCCTCTTCCTTTATCACCATCCGTATTCACCGTCAAGTTAGTTGGGCATTAGTTGGGCATCTGAATTTTTTAGTTGGGCATCTGAATTTTTGAACTGTTTCAAACTGAAATTCAGCTTCAGAAGTATCAAATATGCCACTCTCACAGTTCTGTTTTAAACAGTTTTATCGAATAGGGACAACATGGTCATTTTTTCAGAAAGAACTGCCCCACAGCTGTTTTCACACGGCTGCTCCAAACAGACAGCCAGCTTCCCCGCAGCAACTTCCTGGGGCAGCGCAGCTGCAGCTGCGCCAAACAGAGCCTAGGTGAACCAAAAAGAGACCAACCATGGGTTATGTATATGATAAAATTCCTTTTCATCTATAAAACTTGAGTTTATGGATAGCGACCAACTACCTGTATTCCTACATCACCATATTACATCTCCAAAATTACAACTATTGTCATCATGCTTGAATTACATTACCAAAATTACAACCATCGTTATCGTGTTTGAAAGAATTTTTGAAAGGGTGACATTTTTTTAACTTTTTGCAGCTATATTTTAATATTTTTAATATAAAGTACAAAGGCCTATATCTTAGATCTAATATAAACTTCATATAAATATTAGAGTTAAAAACTAAGTAGTTAAATAAGGAAGTGCCTCAATATAACTATATTGTAAGATAATATTACAGAGATTTGAAGGTAAAACATTAATAAAAAGCACTCAAGAGTCATTATGCTATATGGATTTATATGTTGGGCAGAAAAGTCGCTAATTACAGCTATGTTAAATGTTTGACGTCAAGGAGATTGTTAACATAAACCTGTGAAAAAATTAAAAAAAAGAAAATTAAACGAGCAATGCTTACATTAAAAAGTGGTGGGCTTATGACCTATTGACTATGAGGTTGTTGAATGCGGGCATCAGTAATTTTGGCATGGACAATTGAATGTAGAAGATATACCAATAAGCTGGGTAAATAGAACTAGTGTGGAAGAATAAAGAGGAAAATAAAAGTTGAAAAGTAATAAAAGGACAAAGAGGTTTGTGCATGAGATTTATGATATAAGATTCAATTAAAATGAACAGAAAAAAGCAAACTGATCCAAAAAAAAATTGAACATAATAATGACGATAATGTGCCTTTTGATTTCTACAGTGTACCATTTTACTAAAGACATTTATCGTGATTTCCTTGCAGTGTTGCTTATTAATGAGACAATTCTCTATATGATATTATAATTGTTCTTATCTTTGTATGCGAAGTGCACAACTCTTATTTACTGCAGAGTCATCATTCCTTTCACTGTTACAGGATGAGAATTACTGGCCTGTATTGCGTCCATTGCCTTCTTATGGATACGGAAGGGAGCATATAGGACCTCGATATGGAAGCCTGATCCATGGTCAGCATCTTGAGGATGTTATGATTACAGGTTTGAGCATTCATGCCCAACACCTATCTTCATTCTCTTTTTTAAAAATCAAAATTTTAAGCCGTTTTATATTTGATAATCTTTACAAAATTTTGTTGATTTTTGAGATATTAATGAGGAATCATAAAGAAAAGTAGCTATTAAAGGGAAGCTCAACAGAGCTCCTGCAGAAATATTTGAGATATATTTCCACTTTATACAATTATAGTAACAACATATTTTAGAATACAATTGCTAAGAATTTAGGAGAAGTGATTTTCAATCTGATTCGGACTCTCTGAATGTGAGTTTGTCGGGGCTTCAATTTTGGTGTACGATTAGAGTATTTTCTAAATGGGAGAGTATTGGTGCAAAGTTTAAAAAAAAAAGTTTTGGACTTTGTTGCATTTTACTTGAAAAATTAAGCATCTTTTTTTCCCAGGGAATGCTGGTATGAATCATTGGTTAATTTCCGTATTGAGTCATGGAAACCATCTCTCTTCAAATATAGGGATAAGACAGGACAATTATCTCACCCAAGAGTCTACTTTAGCCAGAGCTCTATGCTTAAGGTGGGCCTGGCATTATTTAAGCCTGATAAATTTAAATTCGGCTTATATCGGCTTAGGGCTTAAATTGATCAATGCTTTGTTTGACTGGGCTATTGTTTTTGTAAACCATTTTTAAAAACTGTTTTATGAAAAGCAGCCTTTTAAAGTCAGGCGAGAATTGCATTCCGAAATAACAAATAAATGGAATTTGGTTAGAAGCATTTTTAGATAAGCAGTAGGACCAAACAATTTAAAAATTAATTTATAACGTTTTCCATAAAGCTAAACTTTATAAAACTGTTCCAAATTAAGCCTAAAAGATCAACAGAAGATAAACACCATCACAATAATTCAGTAAATTTAAATTAAAATATTTTATTATTATTTAATTTATCATTATTAAGATTATCTTTTCATAACCTAATTAATACAGCTTAAACTTATTATGAGCTTTTACTTTTTCATAATGATTAAACTTATTTATTCATACTTAAAATAATTTTAATTATAATTAAATTTATATCATAATTATGTTTTCATAATACAACACATTCCATACTGTTAGAATACCATGATGAATCATGAAACTGACCATCAAATATACAATCAAGGAGTTTCTCAGCATATATCAATTCTACTTATTAACAGTTCAGCAAACTTCCGAGGAGAATTCTAAGTAGTGATACTAACAAACTTCTCCCAACATTCTGAACAGGATACAACGGCATAATTGACGGGCAAGGTCAATCATGGTGGATTAAGCATAAGAATAAGCTACTTAATTATACTAGAGGTTCTCTTGTGCAGTTCATGTGGTCTAAAGACATTGTGATCTCCAACATTACTCTTCGTAATTCTCCTTTCTGGACCATTCATCCCTATGACTGCAGAAATGCGACCTTTTCAGGTCTCACCATCTTGGCTCCACTCCGTGAAGCTCCAAACACGGATGGTATTGATCCAGGTAAGCTACCGTGCAACTTCTGTTCCTTTGTTATTAATGAGATTTATAGGCTTCTGAAACACATGTATTTTCACTTGCGGAACAATGACTTTCAGGCGAGCAGAATATGAAGTGTTATATAGTCAATTTTAAGTTTCATTGGTAAAAAGAATGTAAAATAAAATCATTTAAATTGGTTCGTATCAAATGATAAGATGATGCGTATTGAATATTCAGGCTTGACTAAAATCATCATCACTAATAATCAGCTGTGACAATTTTATTTTGGCTGCTGATACAACAAATTAAACAAGTGAGATATTAAGACAAGGTAGGCTAAATACATATTGATAATGTAAAATACTGAAATATTAGTCATGTAAATGAAATTTTCTATAGAGTTAAGAATAACAGAGACAAAACTAAACTATTAAACCGTTTCTTTTCATGCTTACTATGTGGTCAAAAGAGTTGATGAGAAAATTCGAGTCGAACAATTTTCTCCTCTAAATTTGGGCATAATGATTTTCTCTCTGCCTAGGAGGAGAATTGACATTCTCTAGATAATAAAGAAAATCATGTTAGAACCTTTACATGGAAGATTAAAGTTATTCATTTTCTTTAGCGTATTAAATTTAGTGGCATGCACGATTTAAGAATTTTCAATATATATTGTTCATCCTGAAAATGTTCATATTGATTAACTTGTATGAGAAGATATTTGTAATTACAAAAGATAGAGAATTTTAAGTAGCTTGAATTTAATTTCATGAATTATTGATAATATCTTGTATTTATTGATGGTTTTGATTGATGAGACACAACAACAACAACAATAACAACAAGCCTTTAAATTATTTATTGGTTGGATACATGAATTTTTTTCTCCATTGTGTCCTATTGAGTGCCATATCTTCATTTAATTTTAATAAATTAAGATTATTTTTTATACAACATGCTTAAGTCTTTTTAGATCTATCTCTGCCTTTTGAACATAAGTCAAATTTAAAACATCTGCACTAATAACAGGGTCATCAGTTGGTATATTCATTTCATATTGTCTCTAAGTGTAAAACCGCTCATCCACCTGAGCATTCTCATCTCAACAACACTTCAACTTAATTCTATTCTTCTCTTTGACAGACCAACATTCTGCATCATAAAACATTACAAGTATCACCACCATCTTATAAAATTTTCTTATAAGCCTATGGTACTTTTGATTGATGAGATGCAGGAGTAAACTTAGATTTTTAAAAGAACTTCTCTATGCTATTTGACGATCATCAATGACATTTTAACATACTGATTGAACAAATAAATCATCACAAAAATTGATGAAAATGGATCCTCATGTAATTATCATATTGTTGGTCCTAATGGTGTAATCTCGAGTTTAATGATTATATATAATAACAAAATTTTAGATAAAATTTCACTACCTATGCGTATTAGCTTGTGGTAAAAATAGGTAAAAGTTGCACATTTTGTGATTTCATATATATATATATATATGGATGCATGCATGTATGTATATGTATGCATGCATGCATGCATGTATTTATTTATTAAAATTTAGATGTTTTATATATAAATACATAGGAATTAAGTGATATGTAAGAATAGTATCACTACATTTATCTCAACACACAGATTCCTGCAAAAACGTGTTGATAGAGAACTGTTTCATCAGCGTGGGGGACGACGGCATCGCCATCAAGAGTGGCTGGGATCAGTATGGTATCGCCTACGCTCGCCCTTCTCTCAACATCATAATTCGTAACGTCACCCTTCGCTCCATCATCAGGTCATAACCTTACCCCTCCCTCTCCTTTTACCACATCTCAAACAATTTTTCACTCCACATTCCTTCTTCCTCAGCGCCGGGCTTTCCATCGGCAGTGAAATGTCCGGCGGCATCGCCCACGTGATAGCAGAGAACGTCCGCATTTTCGACTCGCTGCGTGGAATCCGCATCAAAACAGCCCCCGGTCGCGGCGGCTACGTGCGTGGCATCGAATTCCGCAATCTCACTCTCGACAACGTGCGCACCGGCATCGTGATCAAGACGGACTACAACGAGCATGCGGATGAGGGGTTCGACCCGAAAGCGCTTCCGGTCATTGAGAGATTATCGTTCGAGGGAGTGAGAGGGCGCGGGGTGCGAGTGCCGGTGCGTATGCAGGGCAGCGAGGAGATTCCTCTGCGGGCGGTATTGTTCAAGGATGTGTTGGTTGGGATCAGCTACAAGAAGAAGCGGATCTTTCAGTGTTCGTATGTGGAGGGGAGGGTGGTTGGGTCAGTCTTCCCTGCGCCATGTGAGGAACTTGATGTTTGTGATGAGGAGGGACGGCTTGTCCGGGCCGCCACACACAAGAACGTTACCGCCGCTGTCGAGGATGATGGGTAAAATATCTCTGACTCACAACCATTCGGAGTCCAATGAAATCAAACCATGTGGCGGTGATTGAAAAAAAAAAATCGGCCCGGTAACACGGAAATATTTGCTCTGTGTTATTCCGTATTATTCAGTTGTTATTATATGTTATTCAGATATTATTGTGTTATGGGAATGTTCTTCGTGTTATAATAACAAAATAACACATCAATAACACTTGAATAACACACAATAACACCTGAATAATACGGGAGAAATATTCTCTTGTGTTACTATGCAGATTTTATTTTTTTTTGTCACCATCACGTGGCGTGATTTCATTAGACTCTATTTTTTTTTTGTCACCGTCACGTGGCGTGATTTCATTAGACACTAAATGATTCTCTACGTTAGGAGTCCTGACAGAATAATTTTTAAAATAGTAGACACAATTTTCATTTGGATAAGTTGACATATCAGTATAGATCTTTTTGTTTTCTCAATATAACTTGATATTATTTCTTGGGCCTGTAATTTTTGTAACAAGTTGATTTTTATTTATATGTATAGATGTATTTTTTATATTGATCAACAATTACTTGTATTTTAAGGTAAAGAACGCTCTCTTTAGATATTTAGATTGTTGGAAGGGGATTTATTTGGATTTAGTGAATGTGAGTCAAGATGTCAAGTTAAATGTGACAGAATGTTTGTGGACCTTGTTTTCCAAATCGAAGAGGTCTAAAAGAAAGGTTGTCTTTGAAAGTTATATTATTTAAAAATATTTATCATGATTTGTTAGGTTGTCTTTGAAAGTTATATTATTTAAAAATATTCTTTCTTTTGAAATAACCAGTTATCATGATTTGTGGCTTGAAAAAATAATTTCTCGCGTATAATTTGAATATGGTTACTCTTATAATTTTTCCAATGAGTTACCTTCATCTATTTTAAACATCATTCTCATTATCATATGATTAATTAATTATATGTAACCAGGATTAAGTCAGAAGATTTTTAAGAGCATTGGAATTAATTATTATATGTATCTTTCTTTGCCAAAGCACTACATTTCTTATGGTTCCCATGTTGAAATTAAGCTTGTGCATATCACCTTATCATCCTGATGCAATTTATCCAAAAAACTAAAACAACTAGTTTAGAGACATGAATGCAGATTAAAGCGGTGTTTATGCATAACACTAGGATGTCAATGAGTATCCGTCTGGTAATATTGAAAGAGAGCTGTTATGGTGACCGGAGAATTTGGCTTATCGTCAGCACATGAAGGCAGTATAGCAACCAAACAAAACAAGCTTAACTATCCGACTCCTAGTGCGTAATTTGCCCCAAAATATTAAGCATTCGGTCCAACGGAATTTTATCATGGAATGAGAAAGTGGTGAAGAGCTTTATGTATTATCATATTTAACACCCTAAATTTTAATATAATAAAATTATCACCCTAAATATATCGACTCATCAAGTACTCTCCGTCACCACGTGGTCCAACAGTTGGAACGACGGAAGGGAAGAAACAGTTGGTCTACATCTTTTCCGGTGATCTTCATTACCCCCGTGTCACTAAAATATCACTCAACATAATTTCTCAGTGAGATGGAAGTCATGCAGGAGCATTCCCAAAGCTCTTGAGCCTTTCTGGTGGCTTTCATTGAAGAACTCCAGCTGCCCAACGTACACGAATGCCTCTGATACTTCAATCAGCATATATTGCTGCTTCTATCACAACAGATCCATTTAGAAAACGTTTCATTTGAATATTTTGAAGTTTTTGTTTTGTTCGGATTTCGCTCATTTACTGAACAAAATATCTTTTTTTTTTTGCTCGAGTTTAGTTGTTACCTGTCACGATGTGCTGAGCGAAATGATATCTCCGCCGCTATGTAGTTTTTTAGTCTAAAGTGGTGGAGGAGGTGGCCGCGGTAGAAGAGAATGAAAATGGCATGCTGAAGATGTCGAAGGCGGACATGCTCGCCGGAGGCATGCCAAAGCCGACAAAAAAGATGGTTTTGGATGACAGAGTTGGAGATGGTGATGCGACGGTAACAGAGGGTGGTAGTTCTATGAAATACAATAATACATAAAAAATGGGTGGTATATGTGGTTATTTCTTATGTATTATCGTATTTCATAGAACTACCACCCTCTGTTACTGTCACGTTACCATCTCGAGCTCCGTCATACGAAATATATCAGCACAATTCTCAAGAAAACTTGACGACTTGGTGAAGAAAAAACCTAAACTACAATGATCATTGAAAAAGTCAACTGAATGACATTAGTTTGCTCGGATCAAGTCAAAAGAAATCAACCCAATTAACCTTAAGTCGATCAGCACCCATTACTCCCAACTCACTCCCCCTAAACCCAGGGTTTCATCAGCCTGACCTAAGGTTCAAACCAACCGATAGGTTCCTCCAACTCGGAAGAAAACTAATCCCATATATTTAACATACTAAGGTAGCCCTCATTATTCTATTTAATTAAGTGCATGAATGTAATTTCACAATTGTGCCCTCTATAACAGAGGAACATTTATTAAATAAAAGTTACTTATTATTTATTGTTCATTGTCGTGCTCTCTCTATTTCTCTTTATTGTTAAAAGCATTATTCCTTGGGTTTTCCCAAACAAGTTTAGATTATATCCTAAAAGGTGCGGTGAGCGCGGATTGAAGCTAACAACAAGAAAAGCACGACAAGAAGAAAAAAAACAACTTGAGAGACGCAATAGATATGGATTGTACTAGGGAATTCATGGAGGGGTTTGTGTAGCGAGAGATCCAAGAGTTGAGGGATCAAATAAGGAGGCATATTATAGACGTTTTGAGAGTCGCGCCGTTTGAGGAGGAGAGCATGTCCTTTGAGAATAGAACCCCCCTCGGAAAGAAGAGCTAGCACGGACAGAACGAGAGCTTGTGCTCTTACATAACAGGATTCCAGAAAGAGATGTTGGGGTACATGACTAACATGCCTAAAAATATTCAAATTATATATATACATTTAATGCTCATATTTATTGATATTGCACTTTAAAGAAAGGTAATTTCCTGTTTTTGTTGTAGGTATACTAAGTTTAGGCACTTAAATATGAAGAAAATTCGAGGCAAAAAGTAGCTTTTTGTAAAAGTTAAACTGGCGCTTAAGCGTGATCAGGTGCCCAAGTGCCATAATACAGATAAGGTGGTGATCAGGTGCCCAAGTGCCATAATACAGATAAGGTGCCTTATTTCGGCGCCTAAGTGCCTTATTTCGGCGCCTAAGTGCCAGAATCCAGACAAGGTGGCACCTGGGCGCCAAAAAAGATTATTCTTCAAAATGCATTGAATTTGGACAGATTTTTTAAAGGATGCTAAACGAAACTCTTGGAAATTCGGCCCTACATTACATAATAGTGATTTTATGATAGAAATAAGGGGGCGAAAAAGGGTGGAAGGGTGTGAAAGAGTTAAGGAAGATTTTCTCTAAGAGTTGTAAGAGGAGAGGGAGATCAGGAATGAACGTAAGGTAAACTTTTCTTCTCCCTCGCTTAATGCCCCATCAAGGCATGATCCTACTTCATTTCTGCTAGATTACTTCCCTTGAGAGCTTGAGCGAGCTAAATCACGAGAGAGCCACCTTGAAATACTGCATTCAAACGATGAAACCCATTCATGTTAGCTCTCTCATATTCAAGGGTACTTACACCTCTGCTAGATCCAGCTCTTCGGCAGGTTTGGGTTTTTCTTCTCTTGTTTTTACTATTTGCAAGGACTCTGAAGTAAAATATGAGACTTGGGAGGAACAATTAGAGCCACTAAAGCCTATTTGAAAAGCTAATGTGGATATTTATAGAAGATCGAGAGATACAACTTCTAACATTCCATCTACTTCTACTTGTAGATTTTTTGCCTCCAGTACTTTTGTTCAACCTCTTGATTTTTGGGATGTGATGAGTGAGAGACATTTAGAGCACTAGTCCAATCTGTTCTTGATGCAGTGTCGAATTCAAGATATGGAAGACAGAGATGATCATGTAGAACAATACCTGCAAAGGAAGAAGTGACTACGATGCAACTTATGATGAGTCATTAGTGAAATTTTTGAAGGGTGATCATTCAGTTGAGTTTCTTACTTGCCCTCGATTTTTTCCATATGAACACTGTAAGTCGATGAATGAGGACATTCTTGATGATGAGGAGGAGGAAAAGGAGGATCACTAGACAGAGTTTATTTTTCAGTTATAAGGAAAAGGAGGATCACTAGACAGAGTTTATTTTTCACTTATAAATCTTACATATAGACTTTCTCTATTTAGTCACTTCTTGTATATATCTATGTGGGATTGTTGCAGTTGCATTTCTTATCTTGTTGCATAAATGTTACTTTTTCTTTATTTTAGTTTATATTTCATATGCGTTAAAGTAGTCGTTTACGTTGCACTTTCTACGATATACCAGTTGATTTTTAGATGTACTACTACTCAGCATCTATTACTACCTTTACATGCACTGTTTACATTTTTAGTATCCTGCTAAAACTGATAAAATTTTCTCTCTTCATACTTGTTTTATGCTTTAATGTTTTACACTATTTAAAAATTCAAGTTTGGGGAGGGAGAAAAACTTTTTAAAACTAAACTTTATTTGTCCTAAAAAAACTATATATTTTTTAAAATTATTTTAACACAACCCTTAGTACATGGTGTTGACTTTAAATATTTATATTTTTGATTTCATAAAAGTAATAGCAAACTTTAGTAAAAGTTTTTAGTAATAAAGGGTCACTCTAAAAGTTAAGATATTCTGTATAAAAGTATAGGAATATATTTTTACTATTCAGAGTAAGAAAAATTAAAATTTTGAAACATTAAGGATTTTAGAGCTACACTTTTAAAAAGAATTTGAGACTCTATGAATAATTATTACTCACATTTTTAAGTAAAGAAATGTGAGAAGTTTTTAACTTCTGAAAGATGATAGTGAAATTCAAAATCATTAAAGACTATATAGATGTAATAATTCTCATATGAAAAAGAAAAGAAAAAAAAGGATTGAAAATGATCGTGAAAGAAAAAGAAAAGATAAACTCAAAAAAAAAAAATATGCAGGAAGAAGTTCGAGGAGATGCCTAATTAAAAATCAGCTTCACTTGAATTTTTTAAAGAAAAAAAACTTATTTACACTTTTGAACTTTTAGAT